AAAATTAAACAAATAAGTAAATAAATAAATAAAAAACAAATAAGTAAATAAATAAATAAAAATCGGAGAAAGAAAAAATGTTTAAACATGAAAAATAAAATTGAATAAAAGAAATAATAAATAACAACAATGAAATAAATAAAAAAAATTAAATAAATTGACAAAAAAATGAAGTAATGGCATAAAAACGCAAATTAATAGATTAGATGAGTACGTAGTGAGTTAGTGAGGTGATCGACGAATAAAAAAAACTTATTGTGTGGATGATAAAGTTTTATTAAATAAAAACTACTTGTGTGAATGATAAAGTTTTATTGAGTGTTAATATGTGTAACGGGTTCGATATTAACTAAACACAACGACAGATATATTATTAATCCTCCTTTATTAAAACCTAACTAAATAATTATTCGAATAAACCAAATTAATGAAAATGCAACAATACAATACTCAATTTTACTAACGTCAACTCCGACCCAAGAGCCACATAAAGGAATGAGAGCTAACTTATTTGCGTAGGCTATTTATAGGCATGCACGGTGCTCTCTCCTAGGTAAGCGCTTGTACTTTGGTCTAGTAATCGACCCACGTGACCATACGGCGCTCTCTCCTAGGTAAGCACACGTGCTTTGTGCTAGTACTTATTCCACGTGATCATGTAATGGAACAATTTCCATTACAAATATGTTTGAGGTGTTTTGTGATGAAAGTTCTTTCCTGATATGTAGTTATGAGCTATGGATGATGTGTGGGTTAAAGTGAAGGATACGAGGAGTATTACAGAGCTGACGTCAATGATGGGACTGAATGAGGAAATTGTGACATAGGTAAGGAGATCGAGATTGCGGTGGTATGGACATGTGTTGAGAAGGGATGAAAGGGTCGGGATTAGGCGAGCGTTGGAATTCGAGGTTGAAGGAGTGATAGGAAGGGGTCGTCCGCGATTGGGATGGAGAGAGCAGGTGGAGAAGGACGGAGTGAAAGCGGGATTGCGTGATACTGAGGCGAGTGACAGATGTGAATGGCGTCGAGGGGTATTTCGGTTTCATCATAGGTAGCCAAACGGCAACCTCCGATCTCGAGGAAAATGTCTTCTAAACGTGTGTTGTTGTTGTAGTTATGACTTGATAGTTATGTTTGCGCTGACGAAGGTTGTGTATTGTAGTTTTAATTGGTGGTAGTAGAGGATGGATGACGTGGTTGTTGTTATTTTCTACTTTCTTGAACAGTCTTGAATCGAGTGTGTTGAATATCTGAATGACAGTAGAGTATGATGCAGGTAGATAGTTGAAGCGAATTTTTGATGAGAGATTGTAGTTGCTGAAGTTGTTGTATAGCAAAACCAGACCAAGAGGGAGCTGCATATTTGATGCGTGAGATTATGAGTGATTCAGTGATGTCAAAAAATTTGATGCCTCTGAGACCATGTGAGCGGAATGTTTTGAGTGCGTGAAATGCTTGAAAGCCTTTTGTGATGATGTGATTGATATGAGGTGCTATATTAAGTGTGGAGGTGAATGTGATGCCTAATATTTTTAATTGACTTGTGCGAGTGAATGATGGGTGTTCTGGAGGTAATAATATTTATTTACAGCTATTGTGAATGATGAGTTCGAATGATTTATTGAGATTAAGTGACAGATTGTATCGTTTTGACTATGTAATTAGTGAGTCGAGTTCTGATTGGATGGTGTTTGAGTTAGATGATGGGATGATAAGGTAGTTGTCGTCAGCGTATTTGATGATGTGATTAGAGCTATGAAAAGTTTTGAGAGTAGAAGCATTGATGATAAAGGTAGATGGCCCAAGGACAGAACCTTAAACTACGCTAGAATTAATAGGTAGAGTAAATGAAAGAGTAGAGCTAAAGAAAGTAGAATGACTCCTATTAAAAAGAAAATTTATTATAATATTGTAAATGTGGTCAGGTAGAGGAAGAGAGGCTAACTTATTTGAAAGTGAGAAGTGATTGAGAGAGTCAAAAGCTTTAGAAAAGTCAAGAGCCATAAGATGAACATTATTATTATTTTTAAGAAAAGATATTATTGTGGAAGTAAGAGAGATGATGTCGGATGTAGATGAACCTGTAGGACGAAATGCAAACTGATCTTGTAATAGTGGTTTGATGGATGGATGGTTGAAACATGGATAGATGAATGATCTAACGATGAATTTTTCTAGAATACGTGAAAGTCAAGGGGGTGATAGATATTGGGTGATAATCTATTGGTGATCATTTGTGAACCGGGCCTTCACACACTCTTCCGATATTGAAAATCGCGACGCTGAATTAAAGAGGGTCATTAACCTGCTTGTAAACAATGGATATAAGTTACACTATTGAAAAGATTGTTAAAAACAAATTACTACACAGCAATAACCTTCCTAGTACCAACAATCAAGATAACGACATCATCTTGTATTACAGAAATCACATGTCAACAGCATACAAGGTAGATGAAGCTATTCTTAAGCATATCATCAATAAAAATGTCACACCAACCAACCCAAATAGTAAAGTAAAACTCTGAATTTATTACAACAATAAAAAGACGTCTCACCTAATACTGAAAAACAACTGCAGTCCTAGAGATAACTCTGAGTTAAAGCGTAATCACGTTATATATGAATTTAATTGCAACCTTTGACGGCTGTGCACGTCAACATGACTCATATATCGGGATTACTACTACCTCACTGACTTACGATGCATAAACAGAGTGGTGCTATCAAATCTCATTTGGACTCAACACACTCAATCACAATTAGCCGTGAAATCCTCGACAGCAACACCAAAGTAATATACCAGAACAGCAACTACACGCATCTTAAAATTGCAGAAGCAGTCCTAATCGACATCAATAAACCAAAAATAAATATACAACAAAAAATGACAATCTCACTTCCAACCCGGCGCTTAACCAACAACGAAAACAAAGAAGTAATAAAAACTAGCATCGTAAATAGTGACAAAGAAGAATATGATTGCTATCGATGAAGAAAAGGAGACCAAAGAAGATGACCAGCCAATAAGGAAACCTGACACCTAATTCGCATCAAAGTTCAATTTTACAACACCAAAGTTAATTTTTACAACGTTAAAGTTAATCTTGACAAAGTCAATATTTCCCTATATATACAGAAAGGAGCACTGATGATGATTCATTCGGAATCGGAATATGGCCTTATTTGCAGCATGAATTCGAAAAATAAGTTTATTTTGAATTTTAATAAACTAAACGTTCACCAAAAAACTTTAGTGAGAAAAATCGAAAAAACGAACTACAAACATATTAACGCCAAACATTCGGTAGAATTTATAGAATATTGTAAATATATATATATATAGCCGTTTTGTTTAATCCTTCATCCTTTTCTAATCTTAAACTTCTTTGTATTGTTTGTATTTTATATTTGTAGAGTGCGTGTATTGGGTTATCTTTAGAATCATAGCCCATTCTTTTATTTTTCAACGTTTACAAATAATAAATACTGTCACCTTTAGGTATATGAAACATGACAGTATTCATAGAATGATGTACGTGTGAGCATGTGTTTGTGTATATGTATTTATTTGACATTTCTATTACATTTATAGTAAGAAATTGTGTGTATGTATTTATTTGACATTTCTGTTACATTTACAGTTGGAATTCTTAGTTAAGGGTGGCTTATCCACAAGTTTATCTTTTTTGGTTAAATAATAATAGTAGTTGATCCTTGCAGAGCATCAATAACTATCACACATTTTGGTAGACCTTGAAAAAGCATTTGATCGAGTTCCCCGTGAAGCAATCAGGTGGAGTCTACGTCGACAACTCATTCCAGAATATCTTGTTCGACTTGTGATGGAAATGTCAGCACAACGGTTGGAAATACAGATGCATTTGACATCGGCGTTGGAATTCACCAAGGCTCGATTCTCAATCCACTGTTATTTATAACTGTGATGGAAAAAATCACAAAACCGATACACACTGGTGACCTTTGGAATCTAATATATGTTGATGATATCGTTTTAACAGCCAAATCTGAGCAAAATGCAGCACAGATGTTTGAAGACTGGAAAACCAGAATTGCCGATAATGGATTCAAAGTCGGCAAAAACAAAAACTAAGAAGCAATGAACACTGGTGAACCCATCCAATCCACAGCCACTGGACCATGGCCCTGTTTAGTTTGTAAAGCTGGTGTAGGTAATAATTCAATCAAGTGTCAGCAATGTAACCAGTGGTGTCACAAACGTTGTTCAAAAATAATTGGTACTTTATCTAAAGTGTCCAATTTTGTTTGTCCTGCTTGCATCAATCCACAACATATAAGAAAATTATTATTGTTATTGCTATTGAACTTATACTACCATGGCACAACAAGAGACAGAACGTCTTCCCTTGTTCTTAACAATAACTGTAATAAGATAAGAGACAACAGTCCTGAGCATGACATAAAACTGCATCCACGCTGCCTTGCGTGCTTTTGAGCAAAAGGCTAGGCCCACCGCTTATAACTGGTGGTTGTCGCCAGGATGGTCGTCCGGATGTAAAAACTTTTCCCCAAATTATTCCTATGCCATCACAAAGAAAAACAACGGCCCCAGTGGTTTGGTCATGTCAAACGAAGTGGAAACAGTGCCATAACTTCTCTTACAGATTTTGAAGTACCTGGCACACGTCCCAAACGCCGTCCAAAGAAGTCCTGGTCGCAAACAATCGAGCAAGACATGAAAGCTCTAAATTTAAATGAAATGGATACAACTGATCGTCTAATTTGACGCAAAAAATTGATGACAAAAAAAAACAACCTACCTAGGGGGAACTGGATCTCTGGACGCTAAATGAAGATTGATTGATTGATTGTTTACAAATAATAAATAGCAACTTCTCAACCTTTGCTTGCTCTCTAAAGTTTACTCATGAACTGAATTAATTCATTTAGCGACGAACTAATCGCTATTTATATGCTACAAAACCAATTTATGTCGACATTAAAATAAATGATACCTTTAGGGCATATTCATCAAATGGTGGAGCCACAGGAATTACCATCACTTGTCTAGGGGACAACCAAAAAGGCCTGATTATTTTTTTATTCAACAATTAATTCACAGAATAATGCTTAAAAACCAAAGGATCATTTATTGATTAGTGTGAAAGAATAAAAAAATGAAAAAAAAATGTCTTTTTTTTAAACAATAACAAAACAGAGATTTTGATATGACATTTTAATTAAAATTGCTTGAAAGTCATTAAAAAATGAAATGAATATAATACTATTAAAAATATAAACTATTGGAACAAATAAAAAAAAGCATACCACTTTCCAGCAAAATTTTCGCACAAGATAGCAATCATTCGTTCAACACTACCAAGAATTGCTCTGTGGATGATTACAGGTCTTTTTTTCTCACTTTTCTCATCTCCACTGTCAAGAGAATTTACAAGCATTTATAAAAAATACAATGTGAAGCATCATTTTCATGTGACATTTTAGTTTGTTTTAATCAAATTAGGCATAGTACTAAAAAGATATGTTATATAAACTATCCAATCCAAAACTTGAAGAAAATTAAATACGGTTCAGATTCAAAATAGGGCTGTACCGGAATTCGGCTTCTACCAACTTCGGCTAAAATTTGAGAAGATTTCGGATTTGATTTCGCTTGGATGTATTCCTATTTATATATGTATCTAAAGTTTTGTAAATATTGGTTGAATCATAAATACTTTTAAATTATTGGACATTAATACAATGAATTGTCATTTTATTAAAAATACATCTGATTGGTTCGATTATGAAAACGACCGAAAACGACCGCCTATTTATATTGTTATCCTGGTATTCTTTACTGCAGTGAGTTTCCAGCTATCAAAATCTTACCTCTGTCACCAGTGTGCAATCTCTTGAAGATCCCACTTCTAACACTAGTGTTGTAACCTCTTCGACCTCGTAACTACCAACATTGATGTTATAGCTTCAATACTCGCTATATCTCCAACACCGTGTTGTAGCTTCCAACGATAGTCAAGAGCTCGTTTATCCGTAGGTTCAAGATTTCCGATAGATGAACACAACTACTTTAAACGCAAACTAAGTTGAACATTTACTTGATACCAGCAGTAATAGAAACAATAAATTAATGCAAATAGCTACGTAAAATCACATTAATCACTTTTACGTCAACTGTGTTCCGTCCTCTTCTTACCTGCTCTCCTCTCTCTTGTGTGTCTCTGTCTTGTTGTCTTCTCCGTCTGACTCTCTCTTGTGCAGGTCTCTCTTGGCGTTCTTTATAGAGCTACCGATGCCGTGTCACGTGACTTTTTTTTTATAACCGTTTTAATTATTTACGCCTTCTAATTAATTTGCTAGCGCTTCACGCAATTTCTAACTATTAGTTCTTATCTTGGCTTCAAGTCTGTCGTAGTATATTTACAAAATGATGTTGAACCGTGATTGATATAACTATCTTAGTTGTACCATAATTACTTTTAAATTATTGGTTTTACTATTATTATTATTGGACATTAACACCAAGCACTGCGATTGAGATAGTTGTTTTTCAATATATGTTAACATGTGTGGCGCATGCATGTATAATCACATGTTTATATTGTATATTTTAATGCACGTAAGTTCGTATATGATAGTATTTGCAAAAATCGATAGAGGTATTAATTCAAATTGTATTAAATTTAAGATAATTTATTAGTTTACCAATAATACAAATAAAATTTCATGCTGGTTTTAAGAAGCTATAATCACAAGTTATAACATAAATTGTAACTGATGCGCTCAAGATCATTCAATATGAAAATCACTACATCACCATCCAAAAGTCATCATCATCATCATCGATAAAAATATTACCCACCTAACAAACGTAAGATTGAACCGCTGTGGTAGTTGAAAGTCAAGTTGAATGGTGGCACACTGGTGAGGTCTTCTAAGGGCATCCATGATTGTTATATCAATCTGCAATGCAAAAAGCATAGTTTTTATGAAACATTTACCATCACCAAACTTGCTTTTAAAATATAATCCTAATTTTTTTGCCAAAAAGTTAATTTCTTTAGGAAATTTTCTAAACTGTTTGTTTTAATGTTTGAAATTTGTTGCCATTATCAAAAAACGTTCAATTAAATCTTCAGCACGGCTATTTCATGCAATAAATTAAATAGATATATAGTTTTCAAATAATTTCAATTGTTGAACACTGAAAATTATAATCATTTATTATTATTTATTTATTATTATAAAACTATAAATTTTCTGTATTTTATCAGTTCTATGTTTTGCTGATTCATTCAAGAGCCGAAACTTGTATAGACCATTAATAATCTTAATTTGAAATTAAGTAACGCACAATCAATCAATCAATCAAGCGTCCAGAGACCCGGTTTCCCGAGATAGGACGTTGTTTTCTTTGCCATCAACTTTTTGCGCCAAATTAGACGATCAGTTGTATCCATTTCATTTAAATTTAGAGCTTTCATGTATTGCTCGATTGTTGGCGACTAGGACTTCTTTGGACGGCCTTTGGGACGTGTGCCAGGTACTTCAACATCTGCAAGAGAAGTTATGGCACTGTTTCCACTTCGTTTGACATGATCAAACCACCGCAGACGGTGTTGCCGGCATTCGTTCTTTATATCATCTAAACCAGCACGACGAAGGATTTCGGTAGATTTGATGTGGTCCTTCAGATTAATTCGTTGCATCCATCGGAGCATTTTCATGCCGGTTCGTTGAAGTTGTTGTTCCAGTTTGGTTGTCATTGGCCATGTTTCTGCACCATAAAACAACACCGGACGTATCACAGATTTATAAAGTCTTGATCGTAGTGGTAGTGGGATGTCACGCCAGAGGCAAGGAGATGCCATTTATTCCAGGCTGCACGTATGCGTGCTCGACGGCAGCTTCAGCTGTTCCAGTAAAATCCAGAACATCCCCTAGATATTGAAATAATGTTACTTTCTCTACCTTAATGGCTTGAAAAAAAGTGCAATTTCGAATTTGTTTTTGTGCATTGATGCAAGCAGGACAAACAAAATTGGACACTTTAGATAAAGTACCAATAATTTTGAACAACGTTTGTGACACCACTGGTTACACTGCTGACACTTGATTGAATTGTTACCTACACCAGCTTTGCAAACTGAACAGGGCCATCGTCCAGTAGCTGTGGATTGGATGGGTTCACCAGTGTTCATTGCATTGGTTTTGCTGATGTTGACTTTGAATCCATGATTGGCGAGTCTGGTGTTCCAATCTTCAATCATCTGTGCTGCATTCTGCTCAGACGTGGCTGTTAAAACGATATCATCAGCATATACTAGATTCCAAATGTCACCAGTGCGTATCGGTTTTGTGATTTCTTCCATCACAGTTATAAATAACAGTGAACTGAGAATCGAACGCCGATGTCAAATGCATCTGTGTTTCCAACCGTTGTGCTGACAAGAGTCTTAGTATTCGTATACATTTCCAACACTGAAAACAACTAACTATATGATGAAATGGTTAATTTGAACAACACAAAACTAAAAAATAAAAAGCAAATGATAGGTGACATCATTTAAAATTAAAATTGTCAAAAGCGCATTACCTTGGGCCCATAAAAAGCTCCATCTCCTGGGTTGTACTCCCATTTTTCACCAAACTCGTCCAAACTTTCCTTCAGTTGCTGAATAATTATATTAATTAAATAAACGTTCATTTCTTTTGTTGTCATATAGAAAATTAAGATATCCTATTTTAACCTATCTGATTTCTATTGTTGATAAATAAAATTTTAAATAGAAATTTTAAAAACAAGGCATTATCATAATTAATATTTTATAGTATTTCACTCACTAACCTTTGAAAAAATAAAACGTGACAAAAATAGAGGTGAAAAAAACTAAAAATTACAAAGAAATCGTTGGAACCAAAAAATAAAAAGATGGAAAAAACAGGAATGAAATTTTGTTGATGAAAACGAAGTTAATTTCAAATGAATAGTTGAACCTGTTCAGCTTCATCCCAGACAGCCACTTCTCCCAAAAATTTTTCAGGTCTTGTTGAAAGCTTCAATTGGAAGCTGAATCCAAAGTAACTATATATACACTTCAAAAAATCCAGGCAACCAGCCATTTCCTGTTTAATCTGTTGTTTTACAACACGACTAATTAGTACGTCAATAATATGCAAACCACAATTATTTATCACTGATATAAGCATTAGTTGGTTTTGGTATATAAAAAAAGAAGGGGATCTTAAAACGGACTAAAGGAATGGCTGAAGATCTAACAGAAACAAAAAAATCGACAAAATTTCTAGCACGACAATATAAGAAAAATATAAAAAAAAACAAAAAAAGCATTGAAAGATTCCGCAGAAAAATACGTAGAGACAGAAAAAATAAGCAGAGTTGACTATGAAAAGAAGTGATAGCAAAACTCTGTTCGCAGTTATAAAGAAACTAAGTGGAATGATTACGTGGATAACAGTGACAATGATGGACCTAGTAAAAGGAAAAGATAGGAAAGTTCTCACAGACAAAAAAAAATAATAGAAAGATGGAAAAAAAAACAGTTTGACACACCCTACCAAATTGAGATAAGACAACATCCTAAAGAGACATTTAATTAATCAATACTTTTATTTTTAATGACCGGAAAGAAGGGAATCAATTTGACGGGGAAAAAATGTCAAAAGAGGAAATAATTAGAGCCGTTAATCAAATAAAAAATAACAAGACCTCAGGCATTTGTCAGAAAACGGCAGGAACCTATGCAGTCGAATGACAACAAAGATTGTTCTCAAAAATCTGGAACATAGAAATTGTGCCAGATGATTGGAAAAAATCTGAGTTACTGCTATAACTGGACGGGTCGACGACGAGCTCGTTTAATCACAGTGAAATACAAAGACAATATAACTTCCAAATTATCGATTTAAATATTTACAATATAATAATTAATTAATTAATCAATAATCAACGCTAATTCATTTTACTAATAATGTTTACAAACTATTTAATTAACGTTCAGAGACTATCGCTTTCCGTTTCACTAACGTTTATCGCAAATACAATAAAAACACAACGCAGAGTCAAATATCAAATATCGCTTTCGACACTAACAATCAATCGCTATCTAATATCAAATATTCAACAACAACCCTTCAGTATCTCGCATGCCTTTATATACTCGTTTTACCAACGTTTCTCGAACGTCCTAGATATCTCGCTGTCAGAAGGTTCTAGTTCCTCCTCGAACTGTATGCGTCGTAGCGACACTAGTCCTCTAGCAAATATAATTGTGATAGTTATAACACTGTCAGAACATAAGTCTAAACAAATGCCCCGGAGAATCAAAACGTGGAAGCTGAAAAGCAATATTCATCGAGAAAAATTTCAACAGATTGTCGCCACACAGTTAGACAACCCATCGCAAGCCAGTACAGACTGGAGTACATACAAAACCGTTTTGATAAACGCTGCAACTACAGTTTGTGGGAAAACTGGTACAAAACGTCAGCATGAACGGGACACTTGGTGGTGGAATGACAGTGAACAAAATGCAATAGCTGAAAAGAAAGTTGCATACAAGCAATGGCAAAAATTAAAGTCTGTTGATGACCATAAAATTTTCCGTGAGAAGAACTATGCAAGACGTCAAGTTGCACCGGCTCGGACAGATCAGTGCAGAGAGTGGCTTACTAAAAGCAAAGGTGAACAAATGAAATCTCTGTATCGCATAGCAAAACAAGCAAAGCGTACGAAAAAAGACATAGTTGGTGCCTCTTGTATCAAAAACGACAAAAATGAGATGGTTCTTGAACAAGATGAGATCAAGCTACAGTGGAAAGAATACTTCAACCGTCTGTTAAACGAAACAAATACCATCAATGTTAACTTTGACGCTCCACCCATCGAAGGTCCGATTTCAAACATCACTGTAGAGGAGCTTACAGAAGCTCTGAAAGCTATGAAGGATGGAAAAACAGCAGGGCCCTCGGGACTCACAAATGACATTATCAAAGCATCTGGTACTGCAGGTATCCAAACGTTACTACAACTTTGCCGTGAAATCTGGAGAAATTGCTCAATGCCGACTGAATGGAACTTTGTCTATACAAAGACAAAGGTCATCCATTAAACTGTTCATCATATCGGGGTATGCATTTGACATCGGCGTTGGAGTTCACCAAGGCTCGATTTTCAGTCCACTATTATTTATAACGTTAAAGCCAAATCATTGACGAATGACACCAAAAGCCAAGCGTCTGACTAAATTTGATTTTATTTGCTATAACGTCACTCAACCCCGTCGGCATTCAACTCCACATTTTCCAACACACAGACGCGCAAAAACCGCTGCAGAATGCACGAGATATTATTCATAGCAAAAAAATATTCCCTACTATCGCCTGACCTAATACTGATATTTTTACAAATCCGATTGAAAAACCCGGAGGTGTTACGGTCCATGGGGCCGAGGACCTCGATACAAATCGGTAAAAACTCCATCGAGGGGAGAGCTCCGTCGTACTTTTTGATCTTCTCGTCAGATGCCCTGGTTGCAGCTAAACCGCTTTCTTTGCTAGTAAGCTGCACGTAGCGCTCAGCAAAGGTGCCCGGAACGGTAACGTCCCACGCCAAGCACCTGCCGGCTCTCCAAGGGATCAAGGTACACCCGTCAGGGCGCTTACCGTCGTGCGCCGCAATGCCCGACGGTTCCTTTAAAACCGTAATTGAGGCCTTGGAGAAAAGTCGGCACACAAAATCGTTTATGGCTGAATGTCGCTGCTGGCGACCTCCGCCCAAACGACAAACAAGACCATGATGGCCAAGTTCATCCGCCTCTGCGCCGCACCTGCATGTATATCGACTCTGAACGGCCAACCCCAGACGGAAGCCAATGGCTGTCCTGACCGTTTCGTCGTCCAATCTGGTACCCACCTGTTAAACATTTTCCTGTTAAACAACCCATCTTCCAAATGCAAGGAGTCCCACTGAACCCAGTTGTTTTTCAACGGCCAACCAAACTCAGATATGTCTTGCCATTCAGGTCGCTGGCCTGAATTCTTTCATGCAATGACGTGTTGTAAGTATTCGTCTGCAGACTGTGCTTGCCAGTTCTTCCGGAATCCACCCTGTATCTGCCGTTTTCTTAATTTTTCGTACATTTTCTGTTTGTACTCTCTCTTCCAGTCGACTAAAGTATTTGCAACCTGGTGAAAAAGATCGACGAGAAAGAGCATCGACATTGTTGTGGAAGGTTCCTTTACGGTGCATAAATTCAATGTCATACATTTGTAATCGTTCCACCCATCGTGCCACCTGTCCTTATGAATCTTTGAGATTGAACAACTACTTTAATGCTGCTTGATCCGTTCGAAGAAAAAATTTTTGTCCGTAAAGGTACTTGTGAAAATATTTTGTTGCCATGATCATCGCTAGCAACTCTTTTCTGGTTACGCAGTAGTTACGTTCAGACTTTGTAAGACTTTTGCTGTAATAGGCCAAAACCTTTTCTTCTCCGTCAAAAATGTGTGACAAAACCGCACCAATTCCACAGTCGCTTGTATCCGTATCTAACACAAATGGTTTACCTCGGATTGGATATGCAAACAAGGGAGCTTCCCATAATTCTCTTTAAAGCTGCTTCCAACTAAACGCTCGATCATTTTCCGTGAGTGATGTTGTGGTCGTGCAACTTTTGCAAAGTATAAATACTTTACGAAACGTCGATAGTATGTAGCTAATCCGAGGAAACTGCGCAAATCACTTTTGGATTTGGCCAATTTTTCACCATTTTTACATTACTTGGAACTGTCTTCACTCCATTGGGAGATATGACATGTCCTAAGCAGTTTACTTCTATCGCAAACAATTTGCACTTTTTAACGCTCAGCTTCAAGTTCGCTGCTCGAAGTCTCAAAAATACATCTAGTAAATTCTCGACATGCCGTTTGAACGACTTTCCTAAAAAAATATATCGTCTAAGTAGACAAGACATGTTTTCCAGGTGAGACCTCGTAATACACATTCCATTCGTCGTTCTAACGTGGCTGGAGCATTGCAAGTCCAAACGGCATTACAGTGAATTGTCAAAAGTCTGATCCGATTGAAAATGCTGTTTTTTCACGGTAGTTTTTTACGATCTCTACTTGCCAATATCCGCTTTTCAAGTCTAGCGTGAAGAGCCAGTGTGAACCAGACAACGTATCCATGATTTCATCTATTCTCGGTAGTGGATAACTATCTTTTTTTGTCACTTCGTGCGAAAAAATATAAGATTATAGATTTTTTTAATTTTCACAATAGAAGTTTAATCTTATTTTTCATGTAGATGTAGAGTACTGTTTGTGATTGGCTGGTTTTGTTAATGGTTTTTGTCTTTTGCACTGTACTGTATGTGCTGATCTGGTTAATTGTAACATTTGTGAGATATTTACAAATGTTACAATATATATATATACACACATTTTTTTGTGTCTTATAAAAAATATACTTCGAGAAATGTTTAGATTAATATTTGAATAAATAAAAAAATGTGGTAAAAGTATTCAACAACGAAAGCAACAAGCTCGATTTAAAAATAAACGTGAAGAAAATGAAAAGTCCACATATTTTGGGAGTTAAACAAATGTAGACGGGAGAATGGAGGAGAAAACAAGAAAAAAAGGCCTTGGCAAAAACCATATGAACGGATGATGATGATAATGAACGTAATCATCCTTTCTGTCATCAGCAATCTTATTGGTAGTTTTTTTATTTTAAGTCCAGCCAGACAATACATCTTTTACATTATAAATTAAAAGCTATGTTTCAATAGGGAAAAAGCAAAAGATTAATAAAAAATATACCTGATCAGGCCTGCAAAAAATGTGAGCATCATCTTGTTGGAACCTCCTCACTCTCGTTAATCCAGACAGTGCACCAGACAATTCATTCCTATGCAAAACTCCAAAGTCGGCATATCGAACGGGAAGCTCTTTCCAAGAACGAGGACGATGGTCAAACATCAGACTGATTAATTTATTATACGTTAATTTATTATACCTTAATGTTCCTATTTGATACCTTTAAAATGTTGTACATTAAATATCGAGCATTGTGAAAATTTCAGTAAAATTTATTCTGTTGATATTTTCCGAACAAATAAACAATATAACATTTCACCATCTTTTAACATCATTTAACCAAGTTGATAATTAGTTAATTGTGTTTGGTTTTGTTGTTGAAGTAATTAGGCTCGAGTGCAAACAGATTTTTACTTATCAGAATGGGATGCCAAGATTTACGCATATTCTTATCCGTTGTGCGGATACGTGTTGTTTATAGGGTGTCAAAGTCGTAGGATTTTGCGAGAATTGAAATTTTTTAGTGAAAATATTCATTTACAAATAATTTTTTGAATATTATTTAGTTGTTACATTATTATTAGTTAAGTGTTAACACTTAACTTATAATAATGTGACAACTAAACAAAAGAGAATGATTGTTTTATAATTTAAGCCTGAAATTTTCCAATCAATTTAAAAATTGAAGAGTCCTTATTAAAAATAACGTAATGCAGTTTTTGGCACTTTTTCTCATGGCTATTTTTAGTGCTGATAACAGCTAAACTGCTAACTCACTACATCTTTGCGACGGATATAAAAAAACGCTATATTTTGTATAGCTAGAAACAATAAATAGCTCACAATTATGCAAAAAATTATAAATTAATGAATTTAAAAATATTTTAATAAACATAAGTATAGAATAATTTTAATAAAAAAAAAAATACAACAAATACATTGAACGATTTCAAATGTTTTTTGAAGTATTTTTATTCATTAATTATATTTAAGTTAAATTTTATAGCAAAAGTAGAAGTTTTTTGAGAGTCGGGAGTAGTAAATTTTTTCCCGAAAATATTTACTCAACTTTTAAAAACATGCACAATACCTCAAATCTACAAGACATCCCCAAAAATTCAAATCCTCAAACCAGGTGAAGCTAAAAACGAATCAACATCCTACCGTCTTATTTATTTCCCTAATGTCTCCAGCAGTTAAAATTCTAGAAAAATGTCTACTACCAATCATCAGCAAGAACATAACACTAGCCAAACATCAACACGGTTTCAGATCCGAGCACTCAATAAACACAGCTCTTTTAAAACTTACAACTGATATCTCCATAGGCTTCAATTCATTCGGCACCAACTCATTCGGCACTGTCAATCACAGAACTCTCATTAACGACCTACATTTTACAGACTACAGAAAACATATCCCCACGCAATCGTTAGATTGTTGTAAAATTATTTAAAAGGCAGATCAGCAACAAACGAATTCAGCAACCACAAATCAACATCTAACAACATCACCACCGCCGTTCTTCAAGGTTCGGTACTTTCTAACAGTATTCAACCTCTACGTCTCAAAAACTCCCATTTCTTCATATAATATCAAAATGGTATCATTCGCCGATGATTTCACAATATATTCATCAGGATCTGATGTCAACACACTAACTGAACAAATCAACAATTACCTGCCAAAATTAAAAAATTGTTCAAAGAAAGGTCCCTAGAAATTTCCATACCAAAATCAATAGTAACGCTAATGACACCTCATACATTTCAGTACAATATTCATGGACAAATAAAAATTAAAAATTCTTCATCGCCTCTAGAACATAATCCCAAATCCTCTGTCTAACGTTGATACAATGTTCTCCACATCATCAAATTTCAATAAAATAAGGCTGCTAAAAGAAATAACATTCTCAAACTACCATCTGGAACAGACTAGGGCCAGGATAAAGAAACACTGATACAAACATATAAAACATTATCCAGACTGTTGATAGAATACGCTTGCCTAGTCTGGTTTACAAATTCTTCAAAAAAAAAAAAAAAAAAAAAAACTTCAAAAACTACAAATATTCAAAACGGCGCTTTTCAAATTGCAATAGACTGCCACAACATCACTTCGCAAGAAGATATTCACCACGAATGCAAAATCCTCTCTGTTATCCAACATACAAAATTGCTGTCCTCACAAATGTTAATCCAATGTCAAGACCCAACACATCCACATCACCTCCAAACCCATGAACACCCTCCAAACTAAATACCAAAACACCATTCAACAGTTCATCCATATCCAAATGATCAGAAATGATCAGAGACCACTCGCCAAGCAGCTAAACAATTTCAGACCAGCTCAGTCAGAGAAGCAATATCAAAAAACAACTACCACACCTCCAATTTTACTCAATGAAGGATATAACCCTACACAAACACCTAATCAATCCAAGATGTTTTCGAGAACTTTTTTCAAGTACAAGTGCTCAGGTCTCAAGTACAAGTACCTAGCCCCCAAGTACTATAGTTCAAGTACAAGTACTTTTATCTCAAATGCGAAAGCCAAAGAACAAAAAAAACACAAAACAACAAAAAAATAAAAAACTTGTTTAAAATTAATACAAATTTCAATCAAGCATATTGTTACTAGGGATATACCGGATTTAATTTTTCTGGAGTCGGATTTACAAATAAAACCCGGCCAAAATTATAATCGCGGGCAGATTTGTTATAATTTGTGACAGTTTGTCATAAACGCAGCATAAAACCTTGTTACATTACATCCATACCAATAAATTAACTTGATCTTAATAAATATTGATTTAATACCTCTTAATCTTACAAAAAAATAACTATACATATGGAAACAATCAAGTATCAGCAGTGTAACCAGTGGTGTCACAAACGTTGTTCAAAAATAATTGGTACTTTATCTAAAGTGTCCAATTTTGTTTGTCCTGCTTGCATCAATCCACAAAAACAAATTCGAAATAGCACTTTTTTTCAAGCCATTAAGGTAGAGAAAGTAACATTATTTCAATATCTAGGGGATGTTCTGGATTTTACTGGAACAGCTGAAGCTGCCGTCGAGCACGCATACGTGCAGCCTGGAATAAATGGCATCTCCTTGCCTCTGGCGTGACATCCCACTACCACTACGATCAAGACTTTATAAATCTGTGATACGTCCGGTGTTGTTATATGGTGCAGAAACATGGCCAATGACAACCAAACTGGAACCACAACTTCAACGAACCGACATGAAAATGCTCCGATGGATGCAACGAATTAGTCTGAAGGACCACATCAAATCTACTGAAATCCTTAGATAATATAAAGGACTAATGCCGGCAACACCGTCTGCGATGGTTTGGTCATGTCAAACGAAATGGAAACAGTGCCATAACTTCTCTTGCAGATGTTGAAGTACCTGGCACACGTCCCAAAGGCCGTCAAAAAGAGTTCTGGTCGCAAACAATCGAGCAAGACATGAAAGCTCTAAATTTAAATGAAATTGATACAACTGATCGTCTAATTTGGCGCAAAAAATTGATGGCATGAAAATTTTTGAAACGTTCTACCTCGGGAGAATTGGGTCTCTGGACGCTAAACGATGATTGATTGAAAATTGAAACTTTATTTCTATTAAAACATTTTATCAATAATTATTGCAGATAGATCTATTTCGATGTTAAACCGTCATCGTCAAGTAATTGTTTTAGAATTATTATTATAGTTCATTATGGTGGTAATCATACTAATTATACCCTTTTTTAGTAATCTATTTTATGCCAACCGGTGAGTTAGCTCAATCGGTAAAAGAGTCATGTCTCACAGCAGTTGCGAGATGGCTTGGTTTGAATACCATCGGTCCGAAACTCAAAGACTATCATACGCCATGAGCGTACATACATATTATGTACAGTCTGTATGGCTCGAAGGTTTAAATACTGGTATGATATGTAAGCGGTTCTGCATATGTCAGAGCTACATAATACAGAACAAAAAAATTACAGTTTAGTTGCTAATTTAAATGAAATGGATACAAATGATCGTCTAATTTGGCGCAAAAAGTTGAAGGCAAAGAAAACAACGTCCTACCTCAGGGAACCGGGTCTCTGGACGCAAAACGAAGATTGATTGATACATATGAAAACAAATATAGATTATAACTTGCATGCGTAGCAAAAACATGTGTGATGATGCACGCATGTGCTCCACATGTTAACCTATTTTGAAAAACATATTTCTTAAACTATATGCCTGGTGTTAATAAAAACAACACACGTTTAGACGAATGTTCCTCGAGATCGGGGGTTGCCGTTTGGCTACCTATGATGAAACCGAAATACTCCTCGACGCCATTCACATCTGTCACTCACCTCAGTCACGCAACCCCGCTTTCACTATGTCCTTCTCCACCTGCTCTCTTCATCCCAATCGCGGACGACCCCTTCCTATCACTCCATCAACCTCGAACTCCAACGCTCGCCTAATCCTGACCCTTTCATCCCTTCTCCACACATGTCCAAACAACCGCAATCTTGATCTCCTTATCAATGTCAAAATGTCCTCATTCAGTCCCATCATCGACATCAGCTCTGTACTACTCCTCCTATCCTTCACTTTAACCCCACACATCATCCTCACTATAGCTCTTTCAGCCCTCTGTAGTACACTTTCCTTCTCTCTCCTCAACACCCAAGTTTCACGATCATATACCATCACTGCTCTCACACATGCTTTATATACCCTCTCTTTCATCTTCTTCTTTTCACACAATACCCCACCAAGTTCCCTAAATTTCATCCATCCCACACGGACTCTAACCGTAAGAGCGCTCAAACATCCTCCATCCGCGTTCAGCTTAACCCCTAAATAAATAAAGCTTTCCACTTTTTCAATACCACCACTTAACCCCGTCCTTGCGTCCGTCCTATTAATCACACCATGAACACATTTCTAACATTTAAACTAGATCCACAAAACACATATACAATCTTCGTTTCTTCTTTCTATAATTCTCCTGCAACATTCTCACTATGAACAACGCATCCACCGTTCCCCTACCAGGCATAAACCCACACTGCATTTCATTAACTGTCACCATATTTCTCAACCTTCTCTCAAGCACCCTCTCCACTACCTTCATTCCATGCTCCAAAACCTTTCTTATATCTTCATCCCGCCACCACGTCTTTCCATGCCTACACTTTCTTTTCGTCCATCCACAAACTTTATCTGTCGTAGTCAACACACAGTCCCTATATCTCTCCCAAACATCTCCATCCTTACCAGTCTCCCAACTTTCTGCCACCTTCACTTCAAATGCCTTCCTCACCTTACCTGATGTTAATGTTCTGTCATTCAAAAGTAATTAAGATATAATCAAAATAGAGAGTATTATAACGGTTATTAATTAAAGTAACAATGGGTACTATTTCAGCACGTGCATAAACAAAGACGTAGATGCGTAATTGCATACACACACAGTATTAAGTTTAACATTTAAATGAAATACATACCAATGTCCAGGACAATTCATGGGCTTTAATGCAAATTTTTCACCTTCAGATTCAAAAGCAAACATGTTTTCCTGTCATCACGTAATAATAAAAAATAATTAACAGAATGGAAGATTTCACAAAAAGTTAAAAAACCTTTGAAAATAATTGACTCTTGGGGAGAATAAAAAAACAATGGCAGCCATATACAGATAAACAAATGGTACAATTAATGGATAATTAAATTTATTTAAATATATATACATACATACACACTCGTATATATATATATATATATATATATATATATATATATATATATATATATATATATATATATATATATATATATATATATATATATATATATATATATATATATATATATATATATATATAT